TATATATGTATATATGTATATGTATATATATATGAGTAGGCGGGAAGGGGGGGCGGGCCGCTGCCTGTGCCCCCCATGGGCGCCCCCCCGGGGTTTCTGGGGGGGCACCAGAGCTCTAGAGACGGCCTAGGCCCGCCCCGGAACAGGCCACGACAGGCGAAGGGGGTCCGTCCCAAGAGGGCCCCCAGACGGTCCCAAGAGGTACCGAGAACGCCCAAGATGCCCTCAAGACGGCCGACGAGGACTCTAACACGCTCCAGGACGGACTCACCCTCGGAGGCAAGATTCACACATTTTCTGATGGATTTTGAAGGATCTTTGCGTTCTCGCTTTTCCCGCTTCCCAGCGCTCCCTCACGGCCTCGGAGGCCCTTCAGATCGCTCAAAGGCGGCCCTCAAGGCCCCGAAGAGGGCCCCAAGACGGCCCAGGAGGCTCCCCAGACAACCCAAGTGTGCCCCAAGATCGCCCCAAGAAGGGGCCCAGAGGGGGACCGCGAACCGATATTTCGAGGTCTCTGGCCCTAGAGGCCCCGAGTAGGCCACCGGAGGCCACCAAGAGACTTCCACGAAACCCCGTGAGGCGCCCAAGAGGCCCCCAGGAAGCCCCAGGAGGCCCCCAAGGGGCCACCAGGGAACGCCCAAGAGGCCCCCCAACACACCCCAACAAATCATTTCCCCAGAAAGCCTTCTGGGGGCTGGTTCATCATGGGCCCGAGAGTAACCAGAGGCTCCAGAGTACCATCACGCTACCATGGAATTTTCTGGGAAGTTGACTGGGAACATGATTGATCACCTTCTCGCGGCTCTCCGCGGATCGTTTCGCACAGAGTTGCCCCAAGTGCCCACATGAACCGACGACGACGACGAAGACGACGAAACGACGAAGACGAGGAGGAGGACAACGACGACGACGACGACGACGACGACGACGGCGCGCCCCAAGAGGCGACGACGACATTACGACGACGACGGCACGCCCCAACAGGCTCCCCAAGACACCCCAAAATCCATGTTCTCAGAAGGCTTTCTGGGAACCGGATTCATTCAACTTCTCTCCGCCCCCCTACGGAAGCATCTTCCCCGAAAGCCTTCCAGAATGCGGATTTACATGTATAGACTTCTCACTGCCCACAACGCGTTCAGCGTTATGGACACTTCTTCACTGCACGTTCAAACCATTTGTGGTCCACTACTTCAGTGGAGCAGTGAACTCGTCAAGGCCTGGGGCCTGCTAGAACCTGAGCGCGCGCGAAATTCGCGCGATGGTTATACTACATGTCGATGTATATATATATATATATATATATAATTATCCGTGTATATATATAATTATCCGTAAGGGCTTCGCCCCCTGCCGCCGGCCCCCTCTCTCGGAGAATGGGCCATGGAAGAGCTAAGTCATGAGGCCTTGGCGCTGTCGTGAAGCAGTATCGAAACTTCATGCGAAGCCGAGTCGCAATCAGCAAAACCAACTGATCACAAGAAGGGTTACCACACCTGGCGATTGGTAAGACGTGTATGGTTTAAGGGCTTGGTTACCACACCTTGCGATTAAAGGGCCGAGGGAGTTCTCGCAGTTTGGGTTACCACGCCTTGCGATGGATGTGCGTGAAGGGTGGCACAGAATTTCAGAAATGTGGCAAATCCCCTGTGTTTTTGGACCCTGACCCCGCGGATCTGCGTAAGGGGTGGCGCCGAATTTCAGAAATGTGGCAAATCCCCTGTGTTTTGGGACCCTGACCCCGCGGATCTGCGTAAGGGGTGGCGCCGAATTTCAGAAATGTGGCAAATCCCCTGTGTTTGTGGACCCTGACCCCGCGGATCTGCGTGAGGGGTGGCACCGAGTTTCAGAAATGTTGCAAATCCCATGTGTTTTTGGACCCTGACCCCGCGGATCTGCGTGAGGGGTGGCACCGAATTTCAGAAATGTGGCAAATCCCTTGTGTTTGTGGACCCTGACCCCGCGGATCTGCGTGAGGGGTGTCGATTTCGAGCCCCCCCAGCAATTCAGACAACGCGCCCAGGGGGTGCTAAAAATCTGGTTTGGGCCTCCCCCCCCCTCGCGCGGTCAATCAACTAGTTACAGCAACCAGCAATAAGCAGAACTGTAACACTGGAAACTACAAGCTACAACTGGCACAGGAAACTGCAAATCCCGCTCCTACAGCCTGGTGGCCCCACAAGGGGGCCGGCGGATGTATAGAAGTGAATTCATCATCATATCCACCGCCCGCGGGGGCACCAGGACGTCGCCTCCCAGGCTGTGGATGCGGAGAAATCCCCCCCTCGCACCTGGCCTGGGCGTGCACACATCCACCACGTTGGAAGCGGATCTTCCTAGATTGCGTGAGGCGGTGGAGGTGGATGGCCCGCGGGGGCACGAATGTATGTATTTCCACCGCCCCCTGGGGTCTCCTGGGACATCGGCTTCCGAGTCGGTGGACGTGTGCCAGCTCTGGCGACGCATGTCGAGTCGGGGAATCATCTGAAACACTCATCGGAGTGACGACCACAAGGTTGAGAGGGTGGCAAAGAGTCGGAACGCAGGAGAGACGGTGAATATACAAGGTGCCGAGAACGCCTTCAAACCAAGCGGAGCAGGATAGAGGCGGCGCAACAATGGTTGCCGCATCGTCCCCGCTGTTGTTTCAGCTTCTTCGGATGGCACCTGCTGAAAGCTCTTCGTTCGGGCCATGGGCCCCGCGTTGCAGCGCTTGGGCATTGGTGGCCGTCTGAAAAAGGAATGCCATATGGGCACCCTCCTCTCTGCCCCCCATCCTGCCCCCCCTTCATATCCACCCTCCTCTTTCCCCCCTTTCTCCTCGACGTGTTTCCCGACCTTTCCCTCCCTCCTTCTTTGGAGGAGGAGAGGGAGGAGAGAAGGAGGAGGAGGATGAGGAGGAGGAGGAGGAGGAGGAGGAGGGGGGGAAAAGAAGGAGCCTGTGTCCAGGCTGCGTGTTGTAGTGTGTCGGGTGTCCGGTGGATGATCCGACGCGCTCATGGTCGCTGAGGTCGATGAGGGGAGGACATACAAACAGACACAAGCCCTGCATGCAGGTGGACGCGTTGGCAGGAAGCTGACAGGATACAGCCAACTGCCGCTTCCCCGCGAGAGTAGCGACAGGCGATTGGACGGGGCCAAACGCCGCTCCCAAGACGACGACGATGGATGACGTCGGCGACGGATCAATCATACAGTTCGGCGCTATGTTCGGACACTGGAACAAATACATCTCCAGTGGCGGGCTGTTTTTCCATCCCGAGACTTTTTGAGGGTCGGGGGCGACGTCGGGGTGGTGAGTTGCATATTTGTTTTATCCACTCCCCAAGGAGACACTGAAAAACGTATACACCAGGGTACAGCACACACCAGGATCCGCTTCCCGGTGCAAATTTCAGTGCATGGCCCGAACAAACATCGGTGTATAGATCTCAGTGCCCTACATGTTCTAGCCGTTGGGGCTGTGCACCGCTTGTCTGACCCATGATCTTTTTCGGCTGCCGTTCGACCCCGATATTCGGCAAAGGCTGCGCGCGTGTTCTTCCCTGTATCGTCGGCGGTTCGTTAGCCCGAAGTATGCACGAACATGGGCTCGCCGGTACTGTTTTCGGGCACCCGAGAGAAAGCGTCGATTCTGGGTCCGACTGGCTCTCGACCAAAGAGGGGCAGATCTGCGGACATTCGTGCACGGGGCAGCCGCCCTCCTCGTCGTCCCCCCCGGCCCTTTCCAGCCTTGTCTACTCTCACCTCCTTTCTGCTCTTCACGATTCTCCTCGTCCCGCCTCGTTTCTCGCTCAGAGCCTCAGAGGCAGAGTGTGAATCGCAGGTAACAAAAAAGAGGGCGATGGCAGATACACAGAACGACAGAGGCAGCCATCGCGAGCTCGTCCACCTGCCTTCTCCTGCATCCTCTTCCACCTCCCTCTTCCATCCCTCTGCCGTCTCCTCTTTATCTTTACCCATCTTCCCCTCTCCTCCACAAAACATGGCCCCTGGAGGCCTCCAGAGGCTTCTACTGCGGAGCCCTCATGAGGTAAGGCCCACATAGATTTGTTAATTCACGCACACATTTGCATTTGCACAGATTTGCACATATGTATATATTCATATGCACACCTCTAGAGAGAAAGACAGAGAGCGAGAGAGAGCGAGAGGGAGGAGGAGGAGGAGGAGAAGGAGGAGGAGGAGGAGGAGGAAAAGGGGGAGGAGGAGGAGGGGGAGAAGGAATGGGGGAAGGAGGAGGAGGAGGAGGAATGGGAGGAGGAGGAGGAGGAAGAGGAAGAGGAGGAGGAGGAGGAGGAAAGGGATGATGATGATGATGATGATGATGATGATGATGATGCTGATGCTGATGCTGATGCTGATGCTGATGCTGATGCTGATGATGCTGATGCTGATGCTGTTGGCTGATAATGATGGATGATGATGCTGATGCTGATTGCTGATGCTGATGCTGATGTGATTGCTGATGTTGATGATGTTGATGCGATGCTGATGATGATGATGATGATGATGTGTGGATGATATTGTTGCTGCTGTTGATGATGCTGATTGATGATGATGTTGTTGTGATGATGATGACTGATGATGATGATGTTGATGTTGATGATGATGATGATGATGATTGTGAGGAGGAGGAGGAGGAGGAGGTCGAGTTCGAGGACGCGTGGAGGAGGAGGAGGAGGAGTGCATGCAGATGGGTGCAGGAGGAGGAGGAGGAGGAGGAGGAGGAGGAGGAAGGAGGAGAGGGAGGAGGAGGAGGAGGGGAGAGGAGGAGGAGGAGGAGGAGGTGGAGAAGGAGGAGGAGGTGGAGGAGGAGAGGAGGAGGAAGAGGAGGAGGAGGAGAGGTGGAGGAGAGGAGGAGGAGGGGGAGGAGGAGGAGGGGGAGGAGGAGGAGGAGGATGTGGAGGGAGGAGGAGGAGGAGGAGGAGGAGGAGGAGGACGAGGAGAGGAGTTAGGTGAGGACCTCCCCTCCCTCCTCCTCCCCCCCCTCTGACCCGCGAGGCCGGGCGCCTGCCGCTCCAGTGCCCCATCCCGGGCTGCCGGCACCGGTGGAAGGCGCAGTTGGTGGCGTGGGCCCTGGACGAGGCACGCTGCCGGGGAGGGGTCCGCCGCGCCAGGTCAGGGCGCCAAGAGCGTGCTTCTTTATTGCTTTGGGCATGATGGGCATTATGCCCCCGGCCCCCCCCCCTGCCCCCCCCCATAACGTAACGCCTCCCCCCCCCAGTGCGCTCCCGGTACTGCCGCCGTGCGCACGGCGGGGGAGAGGCGTTAGATTCTACCCCCCCGTGGTCCCTTCCCCCCCTATAACGCCCATTATCGCCGAAAGTAAAAAACGCTCCAGAGACTCAGACCAAGTGTGTGAAACAAACAAGTGGAATAACACACATGCGTCTTATCTCACGTGTTTTGTATCACACTTGCGTTTGTATCACACTCTTTTTTTGTAGCACACTTGTTCGGAACGGAACCCCTCGAGTCAGGAAGAAATCACGGCGGGAAGTGTGTCCCTCGTTTCGGTCTCGGGGTCCGTGAAGCAACGATTCGGGGGAGGAGCAAGTCCCAGGGAAGGGGTCCAGACCTCTGGGGGTCGACGGTGTGAACAAACAAATCACGACGTCGGGGGCCTGGGGAGACTCAGAGGAGGGCACACCGCCGGGAAGGGTCCGGCGGCGCCGAGTCTCGAGCAGTGGCAAAGCGTCTTGGCGTGCCTATAAGCCCACCACAAACAATGTTCTAAGAACCTTGTGTGGCTTCTACTGCAAAAGGTTCTTTGAGCATTTCAGGCTGGGACTGTCTTGTTGTAGTACATCGGGCTGATGCTCTAAGAAAATTGTTTTTGCTCTTGGAGCATTTTAAAGTTCTAAGGAGATTTCGTGGCAGACCTATAGGAATGCCGGGACGGTCGGCCCCTGCTCAAGACAGGGCGCCAGAGACTCAGAGGAGGGCCTCGTTTTCGCTGTTTTGGGGCCCGAGACTCGGAGGAGGGCGCAGAGCGGCGTCGAGTCAGGGGAACCCCGTTTTCGCCTTGTTGGGCCTCCTGGGGGGCCGTCGCCGCCCCCGCCAGATTCGCCTCGAAATCCTGGTCAGAGCGCGCCACCGGAGAGATCTGGGGAGTACAGTGGCGACCCATGCCAAGAAACACCCTGCTTGCCTCCAGGGTGCCCTGGATTTCTTGGGTTTCGGCGGTTTTGCGATGGAAAGCGTGGCGTTCCCACACCAAAAAACCATGGATGTCCTGTGGTCTGGGCTGGTTTTCTTGTGGAAGGTTTCTTGTGGTCGGGCCCCTACTGCATGGAAAAGCCCAGTTCAGCCCACGTTTGGCTAAGCCCCCGTTTGTGAAGCCCCGATCGAGAAGGGACTGGGGCATGGGCCGCGTTCTTTCCCAGACACCCAACGTCACGATTTTCTCAGGACGTCGATCCCCCAGAGGACTCGACCCATTGCCCAGGATCGGTTTTTCATCCTGAGTCGTGTTCTGACGGCCCCGAGGCCCAGTAAGGGTCCCCAGAGGCAGAAAGTAGCGAAACACCTCCCGTCGTAAGGGGTTCTGGGCTAGGGGAAGGAATGGGCTCCAGGGGGGGGGGAGGGCGGCTTCATTAGGTTCCGGAAGCTTCCGCACGTTTCTGGAAGCTGTCGGCAGGTGAACGAGGGCTCGCGGTGGTTTTCCCGCAGCCGCGCCCTGTCGACGCATTCGGTGGGTGCCGTGAGCGTCCCGAAAGGGCCGTGGGAGAGCCGAGTTGTGCTTCGAAAGTCAAGGGGAACGCTAGGGGGGGAGGATATGGGCTTACAGGGCAGTTTTTAATACATGGGATTTGTTGTAAAAAACATTTGACTTTTAACACATGATTAATTCAGGAATAGATTTATGCATTAGTACTAGATCCCTGCATTTTTAAATACATGAGGGGACGCCTCGACCCCCGATCGCCCATCGATCGCCAGCGGGGGCCCGACAGCCCACCCTGCCCAGGCACGTGCGGATCCGTTATCGAGGGCTCATCGCCGGCCTATCCACGGTATCTCGCCGACTCCTGGCTGATGCGCCCTCCTGGGCCGCTTCCCCCCCCCCTCTCCCCCCTATCGTTGCTCCTCAGTTGGCGACGCGCACAGGGAGGAGGGAGGGGCGAGGAGGGCGGGGGGGCCTTCCGAGAAGGCAGGAGGGCTTCTCAGGGTCCCTCCCAGCGTCCGAGAGGCCCTCTTAGGAGTCTGCGGGGTCGTCTAAGTTGCTCCCTGCCCTCTTGAGAAGCCCTCCGCCCTTTTCGAAGGCCGCCCGCCTCGCGCCACCCCGAGGGGGGTGGCCAGAGCCAGCTCTTCATCTTGAGCCGTTGTCTTCTTCTTATTATGCTTCTTCTTCTTGACCCTGGCGCCCATGGAGTGTTATTATTATTCGTATCACGATTATTATTATTATTGTTATTATTCCTCTTCTTCTTAGTATTATTGCTCTGTTTCCTCTTCCTTGTCTTCTTCTCAGTAGTGTCATTTTGATTATCAGTGATATGCTTAGCATGGTGTCTATTATTTTGTTATGCTGTTTCCTCACTTCCCACGTCCCCTGCCGCACCCCCCCCTCGTCCGCGCAAGTCTTCTCGGCGCGCCGAGAATTGCGATCGAGAGTCGACGATGAGTGTGATTTGATTCGTTGTCCATTACCCGTTCGAGGCCACGGGACTGGCTACCGGCTGGGAGAGTCTAGGGTCTAGGGGGAGGTTAGAGGGAGCTTCCCCAGAGAGGCCCCCCTGCAAGGGAGGTTCCGTGGTTTCAGGCGAGATCTGCGAGGAACACCTGTTTTGCGGAGGGTCTAAGGGAGGGGTGGGGTAGGGGCTTTCCCCAGGTAGTAGTTTTCTTTGTGGGGAGGGTTGGGTTGTTTGGGGGGCGGTCCTTGCAGGAGGGCTTCGGGAGGGTTCTTGTGTATTCCCCGGGACCCCCCCCCTGCACTGGGGGTTGGGGGTGGGATATTTGTCCTTGAAAGTCCTTCCCGCACGACAGGTTTAAGGGAGCTTTCCCAGGGCAGCCCCACAGAGAGCATCTTTAGTACACACTATCCTTCTCGGATGCAGACGTTCGAGCCTTGTCGTATTCACCCCCCTTCCTCCTCGTGATCCTGCTGGGCCTGGTTCTCCTCTTTTTAGTTTTGCGTTGGGTGGTCATTGATTGCTATGCTTGCTGCGTCCTCCTCCTCCTCCTCCTCCTCCTCCTCCTCCTCATCCTTCTCCTCCTCTTCCTTCTCCTCCTCCTCCTCCTCCTCCTCCTCCTCCTCCTCCTCTTCCTGATTGACTGACTCACGGCTGATGAAGGTGATCCCGAAGCCAAGCACACCTGTCCTGCCCTCGTCGCCTCGGCTGGGTGACGAGGGGGGCGCATCAGGGAACAGGTGCAAGAAGGTAGGAGGGGAGTAGGGAGAAGGTGAGACGCGAGACTCCTCCTCCTCCTCCTCCTCCTCCCCTCCTCCTCCTCCTTCCTGCTCTCCTCCTCCTCCTCCTCCTCCTCCTCCTCCTCCTCCTCCTCCTCCTCCTCCTCCTCCTCCTCCTCCTCTCTCGTCCCCCCCCCTTCCCCTCCGGCGGGACAAGCGGCAGCCAGTCGTCATCGCCTCGTGTAATCCCGTGGCTGCTGCCTCGTGCCGCGAAGATCTCCCTGCAGGGAGGGGCGCCCGCGCGACCCCCTTCGGGGTCCGCTCCGGGGAGGCCCTCTTTGGGGCGCGCTCTTGGGCGCTCGTTGGGGCCCTCGTGGGCCCCCTTCAAGGAGGAGGAGGAGGAGGAGGAGGAGGAGGAGGAGGAGGAGGAGGAGGAGGAGGAGGAGGAGGAGGAGGATGGGCCGTCTTGGGGCCATCGCAGGTCGGGCCGAACGAAAGGGGGGGATGGGGAAAGGGGAGGTCACGAATTCCGCCCCGCCGAGGGGTCCGTTTTCTCGATACGTGGCCGCCTCCGGCGCCGGGAGGCGCCGGGAACATCAGCCACGTGAGCTGATTCTCAAACCCTCCCTTTGCTATCCCCCCCTTTCGCCCGGCCCGAGGAAGGCCTCAAGAGCCCATCGGACGGGAACAGGCGAGAAGACCAACACACACAATGTTTTTCCTCTGGTTCTGGAGCCAGTGTGGCCTCTTGGGGGGGTCCTTGGAGGGCTTTGGAGTGCACTTGAAGTCGTCTTGGGGCCGTCTTGGGGCCTCTTGGATGTTTGTTGGAGGCTATCTTGAGCAATCTTGGAGGCCATCGTGGACTCTCTGGAACCCGCTTGGAGCCATCTTGGGACGTCCGAGCGATGGCAAGATTCTCGGCAGCGATTTTCCGTGGTTCTACCGTTGCCAACGTCGTGCCCTTAACGATGGGATGGTTCGGGCGGTCGCCGAGGGGCCGTCGAACCCACTTTTGTCTCAGGAGCACGAAGTGCGACAAATCGGGTGTGGTGCCAAATTTCCGGTGTCCTGAGCGACTATATTTGGCCGCTGTCCCGAACCTGCTCCGAGAGATTGCTGTCGTCGCTCGTGGTGCGTTGGCTGACCTGAGCCCTGAGGCCCAGCACGGCTTCTTCGTCCTCCCTGTCGCCGCCGTCGCCTTCCCCGTCGCCTCTCTTCGGACGTCGTCGTCGGCGCCCCCTGATCCGTGTGTCCTGCTTCCCTTGGGCGTCGCAGCCGCGCGTCCTCTACGAAAGACGTGTCGCGCTGTAACCGTTCGTGGATGCGTCCCCCGTCACGCGTCGATCCAGGAAATGCCGATCTTCAGGTTCTGTTGGGGCTGGGAGGGTCCGAGGACCCTCTCCCTGCAGAGGAGGTTATCAGGAGGGGGAAAAAACACAGACACAACCCATCGGCGACTCCTAGGAACATATAGGAACATATGCGAATCCGGGGGGAAGACGGCCATCGAGAAAATGTTGAAAAATATTGGGGATCCTAGGATTTGCGTCTGTCTATTTGTGTGTCCCTGGGCCCCTTTTGTTTAGGAGGCTTTGGCGAAGTGTTGCAAATGGTTCGGGGAGCGGATTTGAGCCCCCCTGGGCGGGGCTTCAGGGAGGGGGGGGGGCAGGACAGCCTTCCTGTATAGGGGAGGTTTTGCCCAGAGGGGTTCCCCCCCCCCGGCTGTTGGGAGCCCCCAAAGAAGGTGGCGAGATATCAGGTGTTGAGCAGGCACCGCCGGCTTCTGGGACGTTGGGTCACCGCCGGGTTTTGTGACTCCTGGGCCCGCCAGCGTTCGGGGCATCCTCGAAGAACCGCACGAGTCCCCATACTGGGTGGTTACACCAAATCGCCCGAGACTTACCGCCGAATGTTGTCACCACCACTTTTGGGGACTACCACTGGCAGGGTTTCTTGGGTGGGGGCTGGGGGGGTCCCGAAAAACACCCTGCATTGGGGTTTAGAAGGGGCTACCCGCAGGGGATTCAACCAAGGACTGCACCACCCGGTCTCCGACGACGGCACAGCGGCGGCGGACCCGAGGCGCAGCTGCAGCGCTACAACAACACCGTCAGGGGCGTTCGGGAGCTCAGGCCCCTCCTCCTCCTCCTCCTTCTCCTCCTCCTCCTCCTCCTCCTCCTCCCTGGGGCGGCGGCGCACAAGAGGCTGGCAAGGCCTGCGCCTCTTCAGAGACGGCACCCCGAGGTACAGTCGTGTCGACGCGGCGACGGCCCCAGCGCGGCATCGATCGGCCAATGCGGGACGATCCGGGGATCGGAAGGCCGCCCATCGTTCAAGGTTTGGGTCGGGCATGTCCTCCTACAGTCGGATTTTGGAAGAGTAAACGAAAACAGCTAAACAATGATCAGGCATAGTTGAGACACGGCCGAAGCATCATCCCCACAGTGTTGCTCTGACCACCCGTGAACAGTCTTCCTAGAGAGGGACATGCCCGACTTGCTTCAAGGTCGAACGCTCCACGCGGTGTCAGAGACCAGCGCCGGGGCCGTCACAGCACGAGCCTGCCGTGCTTGGGCCAGCCTGGCCTGCCCCCCCGGGGCCCCGGGCCCAGCGCGGTCTCACCCACCCCGCGCCACCTCCGTCGGCGCCCCCGGTGCCCCCCGCGCTCCGAGGCTAGGCGTGAGTCGGGCGTGTCCCTCTACAGGATGAACGGTCAAGCAGAGTAAGCAACAAAAAGTAAGACGACGACTGTTCGCCTGCCTTTGACTATTTGTGGGATGTATGTTGCTGATCTTGCATATGTTCACCGAACTCCGCCTGTAAGAAGACATGTCCGACCTAAGGCTAGCGGTGCCGAAACCGCCTCCGAGGCAGCCTGGGCTACCTCTGTCGGGGGTGGCCAAGCGGGTCTCCTTTCGATTCTCGGGACGATCGAAATTGGTACGGAAATACTGGGTACGATGCCCAACAGCATGTTCATCTTGAACGGGGCTCACTGTCCGCGCCGCTGCGGACGTTGTTCATTGAAGGCGCAACGCCACCTGCCCAACGGCGGCCGCTGCCAGTTTGGGACAACATTTGTTGTTGGGCATTGTGACCATTTTTCCGTACCCATTCCGGGCGTCCAAAGACTCTTCTGGCCCGATTTGCCTCGATCTCGGTGGATTCCGCTTCCGACTCGATTGCGAGGGCGACGAGGATGGGGGAGGAGGAGGAGGAGGAGGAGGAGGAGGGGGTGGGAGGAGGAGGAGGGAGGAGGAGGAGGAGGAGGAGGAGGAGGAGGAGGAGGGGGAGGAGGAGGAGGGGGAGGGATTCCGATTCCGATTCGATCTGACGCTTTCGATCTGACGCTTTCGATCTGACGCTTTCGATCTGACGCTTCCGGATTCTCCTGCTTCCCACCTTGGAGGCCCCGCCGGCCTGCCGCTTCCCCCCTGCGGGACGCGGCTCCTCCCGACTCGGCTGCCGGCTCCCGCCGCTCCGAATCACCTCGCTGGCCGATGCGACTTCCCGATTCGATCCTGGTCGGAAGCTGGAGCATACACTTTACCAGTGGCGGGCGGCTTCTCAATCCCAAGACTTCTTTGAGGGTCGGGGGCGACGTCGGGGTGGTTCGACTCCTCCCGACTCGGCTGCCGGCTCCCGCCGATCCGAATCACCTCGCTGGCCGATGCGACTTCCCGATTCGATCCTGGCGTGAAGTCGGGCCTGTCCCTCTACAGGGGGAGTATCTTTTTAAAAGTGTAAAAAAATAGCACGGGGCTATGTTTTTTATGTTTTTCAATTTTGGAGTATTTTTCGATATTTTGTTTGCATATGTTTAGACTATTTTTATTCGTCGTCGAAAATCCCTTTGTATGGGAGACAAGCCCGACTTAATCCCGGCGACTCCCGAGAGGGGGGCGGCGACCACGGCTCGAAGCTGTGGTCATCGAGAATGAAAGAACCCCTAACCCTGATGACACAGCGGGCGGTATCCTGGAGATCCTGGCGATTCAATTTTTGGACAACGGGCTTTTCTCTCGATTTGGGCCCTGGGGCCCTCACAGATCGATCTGGCTCGAAAAATGATGCTGAAAGATGGGGTCCATGGGTCGGGCCTCGATTTTGTGCGATGGCGCAATTTGTTTGCAGCGTCGGATCTCAGGGATACAGCTCGGAGGAGCAAAAGGTACCAATGCCCCTGCCCTCGCCTGGTCTTCGCCTCTTTTGGGGCCTCCTGGAAGACCCTCGTCACCACCGCCGGAGTCGCCTCGAGACTTTTGTCAGAAGGCACCCCGGGAGAGGTCCTTGGGAGCGGCGGTATTGCCACCTCTTGGTTGATGGGCATGCTGCCCACCACCGCCACCATCAGTTGGAGGGGGGAAGGAGCTGGAGGATAAGGGATAAGGAGGGGGAGGAAGGATAGGAATAGGAGGACCCCCTTCCCCACTCCCACTTCTGGTGGTGGCGGTGGGAAACAGGCCCGCCATTGGTTTCCCCGGCAGCGTGTCGCCGGGGCCGCCGCCGCGTCACGCGGCGCAGGAGATGCCGACCGTCGGGGAGGGGGGGCATCGTGGCCTGGGCCTGGGCCATAGCAGCACGTCTCTCGGCCCACCCTCGGCCGCGCACCACTCGGGCCATGATTTGCCCCCCGGACCACCCCCGTTGGACGCCATCCTCTTTCATCGTGGATCGATATAGGAACCCCTCGCCCGAATCACCGCGAGAGGACGTGGCCTCACTTGGGTCCCCGTCATTGCATCAGGGATAATACTTCTGGGCGGTGTGGTCTGATGCATCCGCAGAAAAGACCCCCTTATCCCTGATGTGTGTGGCCCTCCTAACCTGGGTCCCCTCCCAGACTGTTAGGGGCCCTTGAATTGCTAGGCGCTCTTGGCCGCCCCCGATGTGTGCACATGCCCATGACCACCTCTGGCACACGTATTGAGGCGCTGGTTCCATACCCTTTTTGTATACACGTCAACAGCAGCGAGTTTGGCTCGGTGTGACGTCTTGGAAGGGACGAAGCGTCAGCCCATCCTGACAGCATTGCATCGAGGTGGTGTCGTCGTCCAGCTTGTTTCTTTCGGTTTGATCGGGATCCTCCCCCTCGATCGGCGGGGCGGTCTGACACCAGTAGCACGAGGGAGCCGTCGCCAAACTGATGCCAGCCAGAGCAGTAGGGATAACAAAACGTTTGCACACAGAGAGCAGTGCTTGTGACGATGCCCCCACATGAGGCGTTCCAAACAGGGCCTTGCCTTCGCGGATCGAAGGATTTGCCATCTCTTCCTCGGCGAAAGGTCGGCGGAAGGCAGCGGAAGTAAAACGGGGGCGTCTCCGCTGACGGAAGCCGGCGGAAGGACAGCGGAAAACCGTGGTAACGCATACAGTGGAAACCCATGCCAAGAAGCTTCCTGTTTGCCTCTGGGGTGCCCTGGTTTTCTTCGGTGTCGACGGTTTTGCTATGGACAGCGTGAGGTTCCCACACGAAAAATCAATGGACGCCCTGGGGTCTCAGGGTTGGGTTTCTTGTGGGAGGCTTCTTGTGGTCGAGCTCCTGCTGTAGTTGCATGCATACGTGGGGAGGGCACTTGTGACAAGGGGCTGCACCACAGCGTCGTTGATGCGTCCTGGCTTTACTCTGGTCCTCCTCATGCTTCTCGCCCCTCCTCCTCAACCTGCATCCTGCCTTCCCCGCCCCCCCTCCGTCATCTTCTCGTCCGGCCCCGGGGCCCGCCCTGGCCAGACGAGGCCCAGAAGCTCACGAACTCCTGCATCTTCGATCGACATCACAGCCGACGACTCCGACGCCGGCGACGAAGACGAAGACCACGGCGGCGGCGGCGAGGACGACGACGAGGCCTGCGAGGCAGGGGCGGTGGCGACGGCGTCGACGTCGGCGGTGGCGGCGGCGGCGACGGCGGCGGCGGCGAAGGTGGGCCGTCGACGATGGCGGTGGTGGCGGCGGCGACGGCGGCGGCGGCGGGCGAGGCGGCGGCGACGGCGGTGGCGCCGGCGACTGCGACGGAGGCGGCGCCAGCCGCGGCGGCGACGATGGGGCGCGCGAGGCAGCGGGCGAGCGCATCCTCCGGGCCTCCCCCGCCCGCGGGCGGCGCGGAGCCGACGTCGCCCAGGACACCCGCGGCCTGCACGCTCGCGGCCACGGCGGCGGAATCGACGCCGCCGCCGCTACTGACGCGACGGCGCGTGGATCGGCGCCGCGGCCAGCGTTCCGTCCACGCGCCGACGCCGCCCGCCGCCGAGGGCCGCTAGCCGCGAGTCGACGCCGCCCGTCGCCGTAGCCGTGGCTGCCGTTGTGGCCGCCGGTCGTCGACGAGGATCGAGGGTCGAGCATCGAGGTGGAGGACGAGGACGAATCGAGATGAGTCAGGAGAAATCGGCTAGGGGGATGAGAAGAGCAAGGAAGAGCAGGAGTAAGAGAAGGAAGGACAACGAGGAAGAGGATAACGCCCGTGCGTCGGGTTTAATGGGACGTCTGCTGTCGCGCATTTGCTTGCGGGGACAATTTGGGGGTGAGCATGCAGATGCTGATGCTGATGCTGATGCTGATGCTGATGCTGGTGATGAGGATGATCATGATCTCGTAGTGACGATGACGATGACGACGATGATCACTACGACGAGATCACGACGACGACGAACACGACGCCGACGGTCACGATGATGATGTTGATGATGGTGATGATGCTGATGGCGGTGATGGTGATGGTAATTGTGATGATCATGCTAATGCTGATGATGGTAATCAGGAAGATGGCGATGATGGTGATGATGATGGTGATGACGATGATGATGTGGATGATGATTATACTCATGCTGATGATGATCATCATCATCAGCATTGTGGTGATGTTGACGACGACGAGGATGATAAGGTTGATGACGATGATGGTGATGAGCAGGAACCGGACGGGTTTACACCGAAGACGATCACGGCGACGACGACGACGACGATGGCGGCGACGACGACGACTAATACGTCGATCGCCAACGACAGCGACTACGCATCACTACGAGCACGACCGGCGAGCGTCGGGCGACGGTGTGCGCTCACCACGGCCAGCGCCGACGGCGAAAAGACGTGCGCCGAGGACGACCGGGCGACGACGAGCACGACGAGTGCCCAGCGACGACAAGCGCCGCTGGCGGCGAGCAGCGGCGGTGCCCGGCCCCTCCTGGGAAGGACCGCCGAGGCACTGCGGCAGCTCGGCGGGGGGACGGGGGGCCCCGCCCTCGTCGTCGCCGCCGCCACGTCGCCGTCCGCATCGTCGCCGTCGTCGTCCTTTGTTTTTGCTCCTCCTCGCCGGCGCCGTCGCCGCCGTCGTTTCTCGGCGTCGTCCTCGGCCGCTGCCGTGTTCGGCATCGATGCCGTCGTCGTCGTCGTCGTCGCCGTCGTCGTCCCCGTCGTCGTCGTCCCCGCCGTCGTCGTCGCCGTCGTCGTGGCCATCAGGTCGTCGTTCCTCGTCGAGCGAGGGGGGGAGTGCGAAGGAGAAGGCCTTCTCAGCAGGTTTGGAAGTCCCCCGGCCTTCTGAGCCCCGAAGACAGAACAGAAACTTCTCAGAAGGCGCAAGGGCTTCTGAGAAGTCCCGCCGCCTTCTGAGAAGGCCTTCTCGTTCTCAGTTCCCCTCCTCCGGTGGGCGGACAAAAAGCGTCCACGCCCATCGCGCCAAGACGATGCGACATCGGACTGCGTCGAACAAATGTCCGTAGACCCCGAGACACACGTATATTTCAGGAGGAAAAGAGCACACACAGACACAATCAATCGTCGATTCCCCAGCAAATATATGGGAAATGGGGGAAGTGTGGGGGGAGACACAAACCCAGGAACTATGGGAAAGGATCGGGCATCTGGCTCTTTGTGCCTATTTGTTTGTGTGTCCCAGGGCCCCTTCCACATTGCAATGGCCGTTGCCATCGTGCCCGCTTGTCTTCGCGCCGTCGGCGTGAGGACACTCTTTGGTTGGGTTTGTCCGGGGGTCAGAGAACGGGGTCGTCTGTAGGAATGGCCCCAGAAGTGGCGGGGAAAGCGATTAAAACGGAAATCAGTTTTCGTTTTGGTGTGAAGGTTTTTGGGGTCAATTTGTTGTTTTGAATTATGTTTGGGTTAAGCTCTGGCTCCATATTCGTACTGTTGGTGTGCATTTGAAAGTGTCGTTTGTTCTTCACTATTGCATATACGTCGGTCTTCGGGGTGGGTTGTCCGATGGTCTAGGCGCAGCTGCCGGCTTCGACCAGTGCCCCAGGGCGTCGGTGTTCGGCCTTGGTTTTGCAGTTGCGTCTTGCGATGCAAGTTGGTCTTCGGCCTCGGTATTAGTCTTCGGCCTCGGTCTTGCGATGCCGCCTGTCTGCGACCTCGGCCCACGTGGTAGAACAACGAAGATCGACTTCAGATTTGCGACGGGGGGGCGGTCTTGATTTCCTGGGTTCTGCGTGCACCATCGCTCACCGACGGCGCGGTTCCCCTTGGGTCCCGTGACGCGTGGTTCGTTCTATGGCCCGCGGCGCCAACGGCCTCGTTGCCGCGGGGCACGCGAGCACGCGCTCGTCTGCGCGAGTATTGTGTCGCACCGCGCAGCGCGAAGCGGGCGAACGCACGAGCGCACATCTTCAACAGCGAGGCTTCGATATCACGCGCTGTTTGCGCGGGGACTCGCGTTGCACAGCCGAAGGAAGTGGGCGAGTCCTCTGAAAAGAGCACCGCGTGCGCGTCGCCGAGTGCGTTTCGCATTGCGCCCAGCTGCCAGAAGCAAGTCCCTCCACCGCGCCAGTCCAGCACTTTGGGCGGCGACTGTTCGAGCGATGGAAACGGCGATGGCGGCGACGAGGACGGCGACCATAATGCGAAAGAGACAAACATTTGGCTGTCACACGTGCGCACTCCCAATGGATTTCTTGAAGAGCCCTCATGGAGTTCAATTGGGCCGTATCAGGGCAGTCTTCGGTTCCTGTGGGGCCGTCTTGCGGGCCCCTTGCGGCTTCCCTGGGTTGCTCTGGGCTCCGCGTGAGCCGTCTTGGGTCTCTTGCGGCCTTCGTCGGGGCGTCGCGGGGGCGCCTGGGTCCGTCGGGGGTCGAGAGGCCCCCCCCGGGCCGTCTTGGATCCCTTCGGCTGTCTTCGTAGGCTGTCTTGGGGCTCTCTTGGGGCCGTCCTGTGCCGCATTCTGGAGGTTTCTCGGCTCATTGTCGCGGCGTCCTGGGCCGTCTCAGGGCAACGTGGGAGGCTTCGTTGGCCGTCTCGGGCTGATTGAAGCCGGAAACGATTATGTCCCCAAACCAACGAAGCGCCGTATCAACGTCAGCGAGTGTCGTCTAGGGTCTTTCGGGGTCCTTTTGCAGACCTCCTGGGCCGTCCTGGGACGTATTGGGGGCTTCTTTGAACCATCTTGGTTCCGTGCTGGGCCTCCGTGGTGCCGCGTTGATTTGTCTCGGAGCCATTTCTGTCCGTCCAAGAAAGAACCTGGGGCCATCTTGGCGGCCGATTGCCACCCGGGGCCGTTTTGGGAGACTTGGAGAGCCTCGGGGAGTCAACGCGGTCGCCCGGGAACCCTCGGGAGAAGGGGCGGCGCGCGGGAAAGCGCGCGGCGGGGCGGGCGAGCCCCCTCAGCGAATGGAGAAACCCTACCAGACAGCACTTGGCATTCGCACGCTCGACTATCGCGGCGGCGCGGCGCCGCCTGGCGCGCGCGAGCGAGATTGGGCCTCTGCGCCGCCGCGCGCGACGGCTAGAAAGGCGCTCGCGTTGGATTTCCCGCGCGCGCGACGGCCAGGCACCTCCGCGCGCGGAAAGCGCAGCGCGAGCGGCCTTCCATCGGACGCGCCTCTGAGGCCGCTGGTGTCTCCCAGCGCGTCGTGGCCGAGTCTCGCCCGCCATTCGCCTTCGCGGCCCCGTGCGAGGGAGGCGGTTGCGCGGTCAACCTGGGGCGGTTAACTGGCTTATGGGCGGCCGATCTAGGTCGGTCCGCGCGCGGTTAGGCGGGCAACTCGGGCGGTCAATTCGGGGGTCCAACGCGCGGCCGGGCGGTCAACGCGCGGCTGGGCGGTCAACCTTGGCGGTCAATTCGGTCGGTTACGGCGCGGCGGGGCGGTCAACGCGCGTCTGGGCGGTCAACCCGGGCGGTCAACTCGGTTGGTCAACGCGCGGCGGGGCGGTCAACGCGCGGTTGGGCGGTCAATCTGGCCGATCAACTCATCAAAGCGCGCGTCGGCCGATCAACTTGGCCGACCAACTGGGCCGATCAACTCGTCAACGCGCGCGCGCGGTCAACTCGGCCGATCAATTTGGCCGATCAGCTAGGCCGATCAATTCGGCCGATCAACTCGGCCCATCAACTCGGCCGATCAACTCGGCCCATCAACTCGGCCCATTAACTCGGCCGATCAACTCGGCCGATCAACTTGGCCGTTCGACTAGGCCGATCACTTCGGCCGGTCAACTCGCCTGGCCCCTTTGGTCGGTACTTTCGGGCGGCCAACTCGGGGGGGTCAACTCGGGCCGTCAATTCGGGCGCGGGTGCCTGCGCGCGCCGCGGGTGCCCGGGCGCCTCCGCCCACGCACGCCGCCAGCGCTTGGGTGCGCTCACCCGCGCTCGCGGTGGGTGCCCGAACGGTTTTATTCAGAGCTTCCCAGGCCAATGGGTTTCGTGACCTGGAGTTGTTTGCGCCCGTCTGGTTTCGGACGGTCCAGCACTGCCCAAGCTATCGAAGCCTCGGTCGACCCAGAGCCTCCCAGACCCTTGCGCTTCGAGCGATCCAGGGCCTACTAGACCCTTGCACTGGGGCCCTCTGGTGGGTGGATGTCACGCAAATCGCTCGGCTGGCGCCGAAACACAAGGCGCCCTTCGATAATCCTGAGCAAAAAACCGCTCGCGCACTGCGCCAGATAGGAGTGCAGCGCAGCGCGCGCCGCCCAAATCGCATGGCTGACGCCGAGACAGGGGAGGCCCTGGCAATCGAAGTTCGCAACAACCGTTCGGCTGACGCCGAGGCAACCGCTCGGCCAACGCCTCCACGCCGCCGCGCGCGCGCGGAAGCGCTGAGCCGACGTGCGTGGAGGCATGCAACGGGAGCGGCCTCTGCGCCGGCGGTTTCTGCGACGCCGCGCGGTTTCTGCGACGCCGCGCGAGGGGGCGCCGTGCCGTCGTGCACAGGGGAACGCAATGGAGGCGGCCCTTGCGCCGCCGCGCGCGCGGCGGCGCTGCGCCGTCGCGCGTGGGCAAATTGCGACGAGGCCAGCTTCTGCGCCGTCGCTCGCGCGGCGTCGCTGTGCCGTCGATTGCTGTGACATGCAGCGGGGGGGGGGTCTCTGCGCCGCCGCGCGCGCGCGGCGGCGCTGGGCCGTCGCGCGCGGAAGACGCGCCGCCGGCGGCCCCTGCGCCGCCGCGCGCGCGGCGACGCTGGGCCGTCGTGCGCGGAGAAGCGCATCGCGAGCGGCCATTGCGCCGCCGCGCGCGCGGCGGCCGCCTGCGTGCGCGAGGGAACGCAATGGAGGCGGCCCCTGCTCCGCCGCGCGCGCGGCGGCGCTGGGCCGCCGCGCTCAGACAAAATGCGACGAGACCAGCTTCGGCCCTTCCGTGCGCGCGGCGGCGCTGTGCCGTCGTGCATGGAGAGGCGAAATGGAGGCGGCCTCTTCGCCGCCGCGAGCGCGGCGGGCTGGGGCCTTCGCGAGCAGAAAACGCAACGCGAGCCGTTCCCGCGCCGTCGTGCGCGCGGCGGCGCTTGGCCGTCGTGCGCGGAGAATTTTGACGGTGGCGACCTTTGCGCCGCCGCGCGCGCGGCGGCGCTGAGCTGCTTGCGTAAGAATGCGATGGGGGCAGCCCCTGCGCCGCCGCGCGCGCGGAGGCGCCGGGTCGCCCCCCGCGGGAAACGCATGCGTTGGGCCGTTGCGCGTGGAGAAGTGCAACGGGGGCAGCCTCTGCGCCGCCGCGCGCGCGGCAGGATTTGGCCGCTTTGCGCAGAGACATCGCCGTCAGGCTGTCTTCTCAGTTAGCGCGCTACGGCCGCGGGGTTTGCACCGCTGGCGCCCGACAACATTTCGCGGAAACGCGGGCCTGTTGTAGGATGCCTTGTCCGGTCTTAAACGCGGCTGTGTTCGACGGGCGCTGGTTGCCCCATGATTTGACAGTGTGTTAGTGCAGGTCCGTTTGGGTGCACCATATCATTAGATGCGGCGTTTTTGTTATTCGCGTGGCCTCTAAGCTCGTTTACACATCGATTTCGGCCTTTTGCCCAGACGTGTTAGGCGCCGTTTGCAATGAAACCCTGTGAGACGACCTCAGAATTTGAAGTTCTAGATGGAAGCCATGCTGGGCCCTCGGTGCAACGGAAATCTGGACCAGACATTTCGCGCACCAAGAGCACGTTGACGCGAAAATGTGCGAACCAAGAGTCACGGCAACGAGCGACTAAGACGGCCCTGCCGACGCCCCTGCGGGCTCTCCTACAGACCTGACCCCCCAGACATTCCCAACTCTTTGGCCCGGGCGCCGCCGCTCGCCGCGGAGCGGAGGCTCCTCCTCCTCCTCCTCCGCCTCCTCCTCCTCCCCCCTCCTCCTCCTCCTCCTCCTCCTCCTCCTCCTCCTCCTCCTCCTCCTCCTCCTCCTCCTCCTCCTCCCCTCCCCCTCCCCCTCCGCCCCCCTCCTCCCCCTCCTCCCCCTCCTCCTCCTCCTCCTCCTCCTCCTCCTCCTCCTCTTCCTCCTCTTCCTCCTCTTCCTCCTCCTCCTCCTCGCCGCCGACGCCTCGGCGGCCGGGCCAGGAGGGCCCCGCGGACCCCTGCAGGCAGGCCATCGTTGAACAAAGCGGAGGGCCCTGCATTCGCATGAGACCACGCGTAAGTCGGGCCTGTCACTCTACAGGAGGAATACTCAAAAACAGTAAAGCAATGATCTGGGGACGATGTTCTGAGCATGTCTGGGTTATGTTTGATTATGTTTGGGCTATTTTCAGTTTTTCGTCCAAAATACGCCTGAAACTGGACTCGCCCGACCTAGGACTACGCAGGGGTCAAACGGTGTCCTCTGACTTTTCGCCAAAGCGCAGAGGACAATGCAACGCGCGGGGCAAATTCCAGAGCCTCTTCTGCACAATCCGTGTCTCCAGAGAGGAAGGCGAGTTTCCCGCCTACCAATTTCTGCCCTCCGCCATGTCCATATGGATGGGGAAAGTGGCCAAGGATGGGCCGAAGGGGAAGGATGCAAGGGTTACCTTAGAAACATGTTCATCACTACTATGTGGGCTGACTGTATCCACCGCTTCGGCGTCCTGCCTTGGGATGTTGAGGAGTTGTGGGCATCCATATCCACAGTCCTCGAGCCCTCAAAACACGACCCCTCGTCAGTGGATATGGACATCATCATCCTGGTTCCCCTCCTGTTGCCAACTCGCACCCGTACAGTCGAGGCGCCTGAAACAGGAGCAGTTCAGGCTCGGACGGGGCTCGCGGTTTCTGAGGTCCTTCCACAGTGGTTCCTCCTGACACTCATGCTGAAGCCAGGCTTCTTTGTGTCCGAGAAGGGGGCGTCGTGTCTGTCTTATGTAGCGGTCTGTCTTGCAGCAGCTTGGCTGTAGTCACGTCCGCTGCCACCTCCCCTGGACTCCTGTGCAGACCATTGAAGCGCGGTTCAGAGTGCACCGGAGGCTCCCGGGACAGCCTTGCAAGACCCTTGGGGTCAGGGGGGGTTCATGTCCGGATCGGGGGAACAGCCATGCGCCAGGGAGTGAGTCCTGTTTTCTCTCATGCTCTCGTGCCGTTCATGCTGCGCGCTGTCTGCCTCTCTTCTCTTCTCTCCCAGCTCCTCCTGCCCTTGTTCGTGAGGATCCTCCCTGTCTTCCCATCTTCCAGCTTGTCTGGCTTCTCCGCCTCGCCTGGCATCCTCCCCTGACCTCCCCCTGAATTTCCTCTTCTTCTCTGACCCCGCTCCTCCCTATTCGTCCCTCCCTCCTCCCTCCTCCCTCCTCCTCCTCCTCCTCCTCCTCCTCCTCCTCCTCCTCCTCCTCCTCCTCCTCCTCCTCCGCCTCCGCCTTCGCCTTCTCCTGCTCCTCCTCCTCCTCCTCCCTCCTCCTCCCTCTCCTCCTCCTCGTCCTCATCCCTCCTCCTCCTCCTCCTCCTCCGCCTCCGCCTTCCTCCTGCTCCTCCTCCTCCTCCTCCCTCCTCCCCCTCCTCCTCTCCTCCTCCTCCTCCTCCTCCTCCTCCTCCTCCTCCTCCTCCTCCTCCTCATACTCCTTCTTGTCCTCCTCCTCCTCCTCCTCTCCTCCCCCTCCTCCTCCTCCTCCTCCTCCTCCTCCTCCTCTTTCTCCTCCTCTTTCTCCTCCTCTTTCTCCTCCTCTTTCTCCTCCTCCTCCTCCTCCTCCTCCTCCTCCTCCTCCTCCGCCTCCTCCTCCTCTCTCTCCTCGCCCCCTTCTACTCTTCACTCCAATCCTCACCCCCGTCCCCTCGACCTCTGCAAATCTCCTCCTCGTCCTCCTTCTCTCCAGGGGCCGGCAGAGGCCGCAGGGCCTAAGGGCGCCATAGTGCAGGAGGGGGAGATAATCATAAGGGGAACAAGCGCACAGAGACACAATCGTCGATCCCTCGGAAAATAAAGGAGACATTGAAAGTGGGGTAGAAGAACAAAACCGACAGACTATTGAAAATATAGGGACTCCTGGGATGTGTGTCTTTTTTTTTTGTGTGTGTGTGTGTGTGTGTGTGTGTGTGTGTGTGTGTGTGTCCCTGGGCCCCCCCCCCAAGAGACGGCTGGAGGGGAGGACGAGGAAGAGGCGGGGCCAGGAGCAGGAGTTGGAGAAGGACCCCTCGACCGTGTCCCGCGTAGACGCGGCGAGGCCCCCCTCTCCCGCGAGCGCAGCCGACCCGCGGCTCCCCCGCCGCCAGGGAGGCCCCGCGGGCCGCGCCCACGGATTCTGCCCTTGGCTGCGCGGATGCCTGATAGCAGAAGGGAGGACGAGGGAAGAGGTGCCTGGACGTCCGTGTCTCCGAGAAGCCCCGGGCGAGGACCACGTCGGGGGGGGCGGGCGGGAGGCGGGGGGGGTGGGCGGCGCAGGCGTGCGCGTGTGCCCGCAGTGTGCCTCCCCGATCGAGAAGCAGGGCGCGGGCCTGGGCCACGGCTGCGACAAGGCCGGCGGCCGCGGCCTCCTCCCGCTGCCGCCCTCTCCGCGCCTGCTGCTGCTGACCCCCTCCACGGTTGGGGCGGTGATCGCGGTGATCCTCTGAGGCTCCTTGCTCCCTCGCCTTTTGCCTCGTGCTCATGGCACGGTGCTCCCGAGTTGGCCCACAGTTCACGGTTGCATGCACTCTGCTTTTTCAAGCCCTGCGCCCACGTCCCTCTCCCTCGGCTGCTCTTGCTCGACGAACGATTGTAGCGCGTCTCAGAGTGATTGTCCGCAGGGCCCCAGATGTGCAAGGCCTGCAGAGGTAGGCGAACTTGTGGAGGCAAGGCCTTCATGCGGTGCGACTCCTCCTCCTCAGGGGGGGGGGGTACCAGGGCTCGTTTCGATTCCTCCGATTCGATTCGGTTGGATCTCAATGGGCTCCGATTCCGATTCGATGCGACTTCGGATTCAGATTCGGATTCCGATTTCCCTACTGAGGCCCACTAGCCTGCCGGTGTCCGCCGATTCCACTCCTCCCGACTCGGCTGCCGATTTCCTCCGATCCGCATCACTTCGATTGCCGATCCGACTTATCGATTCGATTTTGGGTCCTCCTGGGATTCGGTCGGGAACGACTGCTCAGCGTGTCGCGCAGCGGTTCTGGCCCACCACGCTTCTCGAATATACGAAAACGGTAGACACGTGCACGCTCGACAGTCCGTGCGGACGCCTTGGCGCTGCGCCGGAGCTCCCCCGGAGGCGCCCTCCGGCGCCGCCTGTGGCGCGCGGAGCGCGCCAGGGAGGGGGGGCCCAGCGCCGATGCGAGAAGTCCGCGCGGAGCGCTGAGAAAACGCGTTTTTGCCCGCTTCCCTTCCTAACTCAGGAGGGAAAAAGACACATTCACAAATGCATCGTCGATTCCCTCGAAAGTATGGGAAAATATGGGAAGTGGCGGGGGAAGACAAGAACCCAGAAAATATTTGGAAACATGGGGAATCCTGGCATTTGTGCATGTTTATTTGTGTGTCCCAGGGCCCCTTCACTGACCGGGTCCCGGTGCCCAAGCAGCAACGTTGGCAGCTTTCCCTGGCCCCCCGCCCCGCGCAGCGCAGCGGCGCTGGGGCCGCTGGAGCGACACGCTGAGCGAGGGCGCCCTCGAGGGCGCGAAGATCTTCGCGCTTCGCGGTTCGGCTCCGATTCCTCCTCATCCTCCCTCCTCCTCCTCCTCCTCCTCCTCCTCCTCCTCCTCCTTTTCCTCCCCAACCTCCCTCCTCTTGCTCCTCCTCCGTCCTCCTCCTCCTCCTCCTCCTCCTGCTCCTCCTCCTCCTGCTCCTCCCCTGGGAGGCGGCGCGAGAGCGCGAAGTGGTTCGCACTTCGCGCCTCGCGCGGCGCGAAGCGCGGAGTTGGGAGCCCTTGCTGAGCTCAAGTCGGGCGTGTTCCTCTACAGGAGAAATATCAGAGAATTCCAAAGAACAGTATGGGGACGTTGTTTGGAGGATGTTTGACTCTTTTGGGGTATTGTGTTGCGTATTTCTTGTTTCGTCTAAAGTCCGCCTGTATGGGGATCATGCCCGACCTAACGCTAAGCAGAAGTTCCTGGCCGCACGGTCGGGAACGTTTGTGCTTAGCGTGTCGCGCCGCCCGTTTCTGGCCCACCGCGCTTTTCGGCGCCTCACGCGTCCCAGTTCCTTAGGCATCAATTCGGTCAGTTCGGTGGCAAGTCATGGTACGGTAGCCTTTGCGTGCCCTCGTCATTCCGCGCTTCGAGATGGTAGCATTGCGTGTCCTCGTGATTCCGCCTTTGGGGTGCGCTAGTGTGTGCTAGCGTCTGCAAATCGATGAGGAGGCGTCGATGGGCGGCGATTTAGCATCGGCTAGCGTCGAGTTAGCGTCAGCCAGCGTCGGTCAGCATTGATTCGCCGTTCGCAAGAGCCAGCAAAATGGCACAGGCGGCTCCCATCGGTTGCAACCGGAGGCGCGCCACGCTAACCACGTCCCAGTTTCCAAACGTTAATGTTCTTGGCCTCTCCCAGCCTCTCGCCCCACGGAGCGGCGCGACCCGCTATCCTATTGCAAGGCATAGTGTATCGCCAGGGCCGCCGCCGTGACGCGCTCAGAATTTTTTTTTCTGCCGTAGGTTTAGGGGGACCACATCGATCTCCAATCGCCCACTCATCGCTCATAGGGGCCCCATAGCCCACCCCCTTCCAGGAGCATGGCCGTCTCGCGATCGGGGGACTATCGACGATGCGTCGGCAATGTATCCCCGACTCCAGGTCGATGTTCCCCCCCTGGGACAGTCCTTCCGTCTCTTACCCCCTCGCATGTGGCCCCATGCCTCCGACGACTCGGTACCTCCGAGCCGATGGGCCCCGGTCTTTTCTCGATCCCTGCGGTGTGCCTCTCCGGCCCAAACGGTCCTGCTTCGGCGTCGATTTCGGTCGGCCCCATCCGAGGTGGTGCCGATCTTCGGGCGATCCGATGCGGCCAGATGTCTGCGTGGCGCTGTCGTGCACATGTCAGGAGGGAAAAAACACACAGACACAATTAATCGACGATCCCCAGGAAAATATGGGAAAATATGGGAAGTGGGGGGGAAGACAAACACCCAGAAAATATAGGAAAATATGGGGACTCTTTTATTTGTGTGTATTTATGTGTGTGTGTGTGTGTGTTCTGGGGCCCCTTTCACATGGCGCAGCCGATCCGATCCAATTCCGGCGCCGTGCCGATGTCAGCTCGATCCGACGCGCATGTCGAGTCGCTCCGGTTTCCCGAAGCGGTGCTGACTGATCCTGACCCTGCCATTGGGGGCCGGCTGATCCTTAAGTCAAAACAGATGCCCAATCCCAAAAACGCGAGGGCCAAGACAAACCAAGCTGCAGGCTCCTCGAGACTTCGGGGAGGGAGATTTTGGGGTAGGGTTTGACCAGGGCGACGACGACGAACGCAAAACATACCCCGGAATCTCTGGCCGATCTTGGAATCCTCGGTGAATCCGCGATTTTGGGATTGGGGATGTGTTTTTTCGTGGTCATCTGACGGCCACGGCACCCGAAGGCAGCCTCTGGAGGCCGAGGCTGCAGAGGCACGTCAGGTCCTCGACGGGTGCTCGAGTCTTTCTGGGGACGGGGGTATAGGGAGGAAAACTATCAGTGACACGTGCGTTGTCTTTCAAGCTGCGCGTGTTCTCAATACCGCTCTTAGCACAAGAGCCAGATGCATCGTCCACCGCAGTACGCCGATGGGGGTTGTCCGACCAGCGTGTCGTTGGTCTTGGTTTTGGTTTACGAGATAGGACGGCGAGCGGGCGGGTCAAACATCGTCTCCCGACCTGCTGAAGGGGTCCGATCTGGCCAAAACATGGCACAACAACATCCGAAACGGCACACAACGTCAGTTCGAACACCTAAGCCCGACGACCGCCAAAAGCTGGGATCGGGCCGAACGAAAGGGGGGGATAGGGAAAGGGGGGGTTACGAAATCTGCTGCGTGCAGCTGGTTTCGGCCGCGCCGCCGGACCCATTCCTCGATACATGGGCGCCTCCCGGCGCCGGGGGGCGCCGGGAAAATCAGCTACGTGAGCTGATTCTCAGCCCCCCCTTTGCTATCCCCCCATTTCGCCCGGCCCGATGGAGGCAGGCGGGAGAGGGACGAAGCGAAGCGAGGGGTGACGTGATGGTGCTGGTGATGGCGATGGCGGCAACGGTGGCGATGACGATGGCAATGATACTGATATGATGATGATGTTGAGAATGGTGATGATGGTGATGGTGATGATAGTGAGTGTGATGATGGTGATGATGATGATGTTGATGATGGTGCCGATGTTGCTGATGGTGATGCAGATGATCACGGTGTTCGTGGTGATGGGGATGGTGGTAATTGGATGATGATAAGGATGATGGTGATGCGGATTATGTTGATGGTGATGATGATGAGGATGATGAGATGGACGAGTATGCCAATGAGGATACTGATGAGGAGGATGCTGCTGTTGATGACGATTATGATGCCACTGATGATGATGATGATGATGACGATGATGATGATGAGGATGATGATGATGATGATACTGGTGATGAGGATGACGATCATGATCATGATGACGAAGTTGAATATTATTATGATGCTGATGATGATGCTGCTGATGCTGCTGATGCTTATGATGCTGTTGACGATGATGGTGGTGGTGATGATGATGATGATGACTAGGCTGATGATGACGATGATGATGATGATGATGGTGATGATGATGATGATGATGATGATGCTGATGATGATGATGATGATGATGATGATGATGACGACGTTGATGATGAGGAGGAGGAGGGGGATGATGATAATCCTGTTTTAGAAGGCGGTGGTGGTGGTGGTGGGGAGGAGTGGGAGGAGAAGTGGGAGAGGAGGAGGAGGAGGCGGAGGAGGAGGAGGAGGAGGAGGAAGGGCGGGCTGACCCCCCAGCCGCGCCCCGAGCGACGTCCCCCCCGCGCGCAGATGACCTGCCGCTGCGGCTGCCAATTCTGCTACGCGTGCGGCGCCGTGGCAGGCCGCTAGCAACGTGGGAAGGCTTCCTCCTCCTACCACTCCTCCTCCTCCTCCTCCTCCGCCCCCTCCTCCTCCTCCTCTCCCCCTCCTCCTCCTCCTCCTCCTCCTCCTCCTCCTCCTCCTCCTCTCCTCCTCCTCCTCCCCCTCCTCCTCCTCCTCCTCCTCCTCCTCCTCGTCTCCTCCTCCTACTTCTCCTCCCCCTCTCCTCCTCCTCTGCCTCCTCCTCCTCCTCCTCCTCCTCCTCCTCCTCCTTCCTCCTCCTCCTCCTCCCTCCCCTCTCTCCTCCTCCCTCTCTCCTCCTCCTCCTCCTTCTCTCCTCCTCCTCCTCCTCCTCCTCCTCCTCCTCCTCCTCCTCCTTCTCCTCCTCCTCCTCCTTTTTCTCCTCTGGGTCACGATGAGTAGGCGTGAGGTGTGCCTGGTGCCTCGGCTGTGCTCGCCGCTCCCTTTGCGTGCTTGGCCGGGCACGCTCGCTCGGGGCCGCTCCCCTAGGCCTGGGGCCAAAGCCTTCAGAAATTCGGGCAACGATCCGATCGCTCCGCCTGACTCTGGGCGCGCAGAATCCATGCGCAGTTCCGCCGTCGCCGCAACCTCTTTCTCCTTCGGTGCTTAGTGGGCCCTCCTGCCCTCCCTCCTCCCTCCCTCCCTCCCTCTCTTCTCCTCCCTGCCCAATCGGTCCGATTCCTGGCGCCCCCGTCTCCTCCCCCTCCCTGAGAACCTACCTGTCAGGCGGCACCTCGGCATTACCCGGAAGCTGGCAGCCCATGCGGCTGGCTCGCGTGTGGACACATCCAGAGGCCGCGCGCTGGACACGCGTGCGGATGCCGGGCACCCCGTGGGCCCTGGGGACGACAGGGCAGTTCTTGTTGCCCGTTCCGTTTTGCCGCTGTTGTTGCCGGCTCCGTCGAGCCTGTGCCGTCGCCGCTTTCGCTACCGCTGCCATGTTCCAGGACCACGTTTTCGGAGACAGTGAAACATCGGCCCCGCCGTTTTTCGGGGCCCACTGAGGTTAGGTCGGGCATGTCCTCCTGCAGCGGATTTTGGAAGAAGCGTCGCAAGTATCATAACAATATCCAGAATTATTTAACCATGCGCGAGAACAGTAAAACAAATCGTCCCCTGACTATTCTTTGGACCGTGACAAGGCCGAGCGTGCACGGCCACCCGAGCGCCGAGCGCGAGACAGGCAGGCGGACACACGCCTGCCCAGCTCCCGCCCAGGCCTGCCACGCCCGGTGCATGCAGCTTCCTCGTGCCAGGGCGAGGCTGGCCTCAGCTCCGGTGCCACCCTCGCCCTGCTCGCCACAGCCGCCACAGTTGGGGGCGCACGGGAGCTCCAGAGCACGCGCGGGCTGTCGGCATCTTCCTCGCCGTCTCCTCCCGAACGGCTGCGCCTCGTGGGGCTATGGGCCAGCAAACAGATAAAAGCACGAGGGAGGGACTGCATCGGAATGGTGAGATGCAGTACGTGTCCGAGGGAGAGAGAGAGAGAGAGAGAAAGAGAGAGAGAGAGAGAGAGAAAAAAAAGAGAGAGAGAGAGCAAAAAAGGCAGAGAGAGGGAGACAGAGAGAGAGAGAGATCGGGTGCTGTTAGAAGTGCCCCTGGCCCAAGGGGCGGCGCGGGAGGCGCCGCCGGGGGGCCCCGCGCGGATCCAAGAAATCCGCGCCGAGCGCCAAAAGTTGTTCATATGTTTTTGTTCTTCTCCTATCGGTTCTCAGAGATCCGACGCTCCGAACAATCTTGGAGCGGCGGGTTTGGGTCCGTGATCTGCATCCAGGGGCCCTCGCCGGGCAGCGGGACCGTCAAAGAAACGACTCCGGACGAGACAGGGGCCCTGGAGAAGTGGGCCAGACCTCTAGGGCTCACGCGTTGAAGCAAATGGAGCGGCCAGATGTCTGGGCTGAGAGAAGGAGATGAGACGGGCGAGTCAGGAATCGGACCGAGATGGGCAGGGAGGAGGAAGGGGAGGGAAGGAGAGAGTAGTTGGGGAAGGAGGAGGCGGGAGGGAGGGAGGGAGGAGGGAAGGAGGGGAGGGAGGGAGGAGGGAAGGAGGAGCGAGAAGGAGACGCCCCAAGGAGGCAGGAGGGAGGAGGGGGGTGGCGGGAGGTATTCGGTGCCAGTGGATGAGCCAGAGGTCCCGGCGGCGCTCCACGCTGCAAGTGCGTGGGCGACCACCATTCCTACCTGCCGCACAGCAGCGTGATGAACGACTACAGGCTAGCCCGAGCGGGGGGTACGGGACGCTCTCGGGGCTCAACAGATGGGGGTCGATGTAAAAGGGGGGCCGTCAGAGCGCCGGATGTTTCAGAATCCTACAAAGCCAGGGGTGCACTGACCTGGACTCTGGTGCAGGATCCAGCAGGGTGTTGCAGGATCCTGCAAGACCCGCTTGACCTGGGCTTGCATTGACCCAGGTCAGCACGTCCCCGACGCTTCTAAGCAGCACGGACAATAATGGCGAGGAGGAGGTTTCAGGCGGGAGAAACAAACGGAGGGCCGGGGCGGGTGGGAAATGCTGCGAAGGGAATGTTTGTTTGGATTTGGATGTCTATACGTCGTGAGGCGGCGATGCCATCGTGAATGCAGATCGATCGATCGATGCCCAGACCATGAGGCGGTCGCCTGTGAAGTGACCTGTGGAAGAAACGCGTTTCTGTCTCGTTGACACACTGGGTCTTAGATATCAAGGCCGCGACCATGACATGAAGGTGGGCCAGCTGAACGGAAGGATGAGCTGATCTGTCGGGTCAGAGTGCGCGAAATGACATCCCTAGAAGCATCACGAGCAGCATCTAGTGATTCGAGCAGCACGGCATCTTCAAACACAAGAGTAGTGCGAACCCACGACTCCTGTGCGGGTCGAGGGGGGGTGGAGGGAGAGAGCAAGGGTGCCTGTGAGAGTGAACGATGGTGTACGAGATGGGGAGGAAGACAGCTATATATAGAGAGAGAGAGGGAGAGAGAGAGAGAGAGAGGGAGAGAGAGAGACAGAGGGGGCAATACTACCAAAGTTGTGAGGAAAAACATGTGGACGCGAGGAGGCGGGATGGCCCGCACTACTGCCGTCGCTTTCATGACCTCCCTGTTGGCTGTCCTGCCTCTCGGTGCCCTCGACTGGTCGACCCGCCGACCCTTTCGCCACTCGGCGTCGGGCGGGCCCAGGACCAGCAAGGGCTCCCTCGAGGGCGCGAAGTTATTCGCGCTTCGCGGTCCTCGTTCCTTCTCCCCCTCCTCCTCGTCCTCCTATTCTCCCTTTGGGAGGGCGGCGCGAGAGCGCGAAGTTATTCGCGCTTCGCGCTTCGCGCAGCGCGAAGCGCGAAGTTGGGAGCCCTAGGACCAGGAAACGTCGCTGCAGAGCACTCCGAGAAAGGCCATCGCAGCGTTCCTGGGAGCCCTCTGGAACGGCCGCGGCGCCCGACGCACCCTCCGGAACCGCTGGGTCTCAGAGATCCCCGATCTCAGAGACGCCCCGCGACGCGCCCATCCTTCTTCCCCTCCGCCCCTGCTCTCCCCATCCTTCTTCCCCTCCGCCCCTGCTCCCCTCCTTCCCTTCCTCTTCTTGGTCCTCGCTCCTGCATCTCCCCTATGTTCCATCTTTTCCTCCCGCAGTTCTCCTGTTCTTCCCGCGGACCTCCGCAGAGTGCACAGCCGGGCCTCCAGTGAGAAGCCGACGACGCGGGAGCCAGTGTAATCAGGGCGCATTGCTCGATTATTCCTTCTGTTTGTGGCCCAGACGGCTTTCAGACCACCATCACCACCACCATCTTCTTCTTCTACCTCATCATCAGCATCGTCAGCTTCATCCTCTTCCTTTCCTGCCCAATGACCATTCGTTCATTCATGGGGCGATGAATGGTTTCGAGTCTCCGTGACGTGCACAACATGAGAAGTGCACGCCAGGCTGATGTTTCTCTGCCGCGAGACTTCGGCAGTGCGTGTTCATCGTGCTCAGTCTGCTGCGACTCTGTTCAAAGTCACCATCATCACCATCATCATGATCAGTATCATCATCATCATCATCATCATCCTCATCCTCATCATCATCATGATCATCATCATCATCAGCAGCAGCAGCATCAGCATCAGCATCAGCATCATCGTCACCATCACCATCATCAACATCAGCATCACCAGCATCACCATCATCACAACCACGATCATCATCATCAACAGCAGCACCATCATGATCAGCATCACCATGGTCATCCTCATTATCATCATTCACATCATCATCACCATCAGCATCATCAGCAGCATCATCATCACCATCATCATCCTTCTCATCAGCATCATCGTTCTCATCAATATCATCATCACCAGCATCACCATCATCATCACCATCACCAGCACCATCATCACCCTCATCATCATCATCATCATCATCATCATCATCATCATCATCATCATCATCAGCAGCAGCAGCAGCAGCAGCAGCAGCAGCAGCAGCAGCAGCAGCTGCAACGGCACCACCACCACCATCCTCGTCACCCGTCATCACCCTCGCCACCGCCTCCCCTGCTCCCCCGCTCGCTGCCGCGGGGAGGGGGCCCACCCCACGCGCCAGGGACGCGCCCGATAGAGCCGGGCTCTTCGGCGGCGCCTTCGGGCACGGCGGCCCCTTCGGCGCGCCGCCTTCCGGGGGGGGGGG